TCCGCAGTATGGTATGACAAACTATATAAAATCCGCTCCCCTAATTAACCATTTTAATAAAGAATTTGGCATAATTTATACTCCCCAAAAGAATATGTGTATTGAGGAGTCCCTAATGAAGTACAAGGGTAGACTGGGGTTCAAGCAATACATCCCAGCCAAAATACCCCGGTATGGCATCAAGCTATACAAGTTATGTGAAAGTAGCAGTGGGTATGTTTATACCTTCAGAGTATATGAAGGTAAAGATAGCCACCGGGATCCCCCAGGTTGCCCTGATGTAGTTGGGACTAGCGGAAAATTAGTTTGTGATCTAATGAACCCGCTACTGAACAAGGGGTACCACCTCTACATTGATAATTATTACAATAACATACCCCCCCCCCCCCAAAAAAAATGCTATATTGTTTTGAGACCGTGGTCTGCGGCACTATCCGCAAGGCACGCACTGGCTTCCCCAAGGCTCTGGCAGAGAAAAAAATAAAAAGGGGGAAACTGCTGCTCTCTGCCAGGACGAACTGCTGGCTCTGAAATACAGAGACAAAAAGGAGGTGTTCATACTGACTACCATGCACAGTGAACACACGCAGGGTCGCAGTCCGTGGCAGACGGGAAACCAGACGGCTGCCTGTCTGCATTAAGCAATACAATAAACACATGGGGGGAGTTGACATGTCTGATCAACTGCTGCAGCCATATCTGATAATGAGAAAGACCAGGGCCTGGTATAAGAAAGAGGGCATTTATTTAATGCAAATGGCTACTCACAATGCATTCATCCTTTTCAAAAAGGCAAATCCTCAGCTGAAATGTACTTTTCTTACATTTCAGTTTCAGCTAATTTCTGTGCTGCTCACTGAGTGCCACAGTGGGGAGCCATCAGCAGGGCCTAGCAGCAGAGATATTCAGACAGGTCACTTCTGCTTTCGGATACCACCAACCCCCCCCCAGAAAAGGTGCAGGCTGTGTTACCAGAGAGGCATTCGGATGGAGACCAGTTTCTACTGCCCTGATTGTCCCTCTCAGCCTGGCCTTTGTATTGGGAACTGTTTTTTTTAATTATGTCATACTCAGGGCCGACCAATTCTCAATACAATTAATATTTTTGTTGTAGTTCTTCTGTTATTTGACCACTGACTATCTGGATATATATTTTTTTTTTACTTGTATTTAGTTAATTGGGGTGGATGATCGTTCCTGGGAAATTGGGGAGTTTAGTGCGTATGCTAGAGGTAGAAATACAAATAAAGAAATCCACAAAAAAATTACACAAAGTTCTTGTGTAAAAAGCTCAAAATGCTTAGGAAGTACAGTTAGAGAATTCTGACAGCGGATTCAGAGGTGACAGACAGTGCCTCAGAGTTTGACCCAAAATGGGACATGGACCCAGCATGCAAATTCAAAGTTTGAAACAAACCTGAAATGGCCGAGTCTCAAATTTGCCCCTTCAACATCCACATATACCTGGGAACGGTACACACGGGGGTATTGCTGTACTCAGGTGACATATGAAGCGTTATACTGCCGTAGCACACCTAAGGATTGTAAATTATGCAGTAAAATCTCAAAGTGTGTGTCAAAAAGGCAGAGAAAATGCTTACTAATACTAGACTTGGTATTAACTAGCGAAAAAATTATCCCACGCTAAGGTTCAAAATAGGCCTTTTGAAATACCCTGGGGTGTCTACTTTAAAAAATGGTAGGCCTTTGTGGGGGAAGTTTGAATAAGCAACCTATTAGACCCCAAAATGAGTCATAAACCTATAAAATTCATCTCTCAAAATTCTACTGTAAAAACTGAAATGGTCAGGTCTCCCATATGGCAGTGTAGCGTCAGGAAATAGTGCCAAAGGCATACATTGGGGGTATCGTTTTACTCCCAGGAGATAGCTCAGCATAATTAGGGTTGTTTGATCATATTGGAACATATCAAATATACAAAATGCCCAGCACAAATGTAACGCATAAGTTAAAAATGTGAAAAATATTTTTTTACTACAAACTTTGACATATAATGGTGAAAAAATGGCGACATGTTAAGGCACAATATATGCCATATGAGATACCCGGGAGTGTATACTTTCACAAATGGTAGGCCTTTGTGCGGTTATTGAAACAGTCAAACTGCTATAATGGCCCAAATTGAAACATAAGCCCTGCAAATCCGTCTCAAAATTCTACTCTAAAAACTGAAATGGTCAGGTCTCCTGTATGGCACTATAGCGTCACGAAATAGTGTCAAAGGCATACATTGGGGGTATCGTTTGACTCAGAAGATTTAGCTGAGCATAATTAGGGGTGTTTGATCATAGTGGAACATATCAAATATACAAAATGCCCAGCACAAATGTAATGCTCAAGTAAAAAATGCGAAAAATATTTTTTTAACACAAATTTTGACATGTAACGGTGAATAAATGGTGACCCGTTAAGGCAAAATATATGCCATGAGATACCATGGAGTGTCTAATTTCACAAATGGAAGGCCTTTGTGTGGTCATTTGAACAACCAAACTACAATAATGCCCCAAAATAAGACATAGGTCCATTAAATCCATCTTTGAATTTTCTAACTGTAGAAACGGAAAAAAGTCTGGCCTCTTATGTCATTGTAGCTTCCCAAAATAGTGGCAAAGACATTCAATGGGGGTATTGTTGTACTCAGCAGATGTAGCTGAACACAATATGGGATTTTGACCAGGAATAGAACACAGCAGCTTTACAAAATACACATTTAAAAAACCTTGTTATATATGTGTATTTCAAAAAACAGAAAAAACACAATTTTACTCCAATATTTAGCAGAGATTGGTGGGGAAATGGCTATGTAAAAAGTGTCAAAATACCCTTAAATAAATAGCCTGTGATGTCTTCTTTATATAAATATATACTTTGTGTGGCAATTTAGTTTTCTGTGACGGCTGTTAAACTTACAAGTCAAACATACCAACTTCTAAATTTTTTTCACATATAAATTTTATTACTCCTTGTATTTTGTGACCTGTAACTTTAAAAATAAGCTGAAATCCTACACATATTATGCACTTTGAAAAACAAGACACCTAAATGAATTTATTTTGAATTACTTTTCCTAAGCTGGACATATTATTCACTTTTTCATTTTTTTAAATAATAAATTAGATTTTATATAATGTATAAGTGACATCAAAGTAAAGCCCATCTTGTCCTTTAAAAAAACGATATATAATATGTGTTGATTCAATAAATGAGAGCGATGCAAATTGCAGTTGAACACAAACATCAAAAATAGCTTGAGTCCTTAAGGGGTTAAAGGACCACTCTAGGCACCCAGACCACTTCAGCTTAATGAAGTGGTCTGGGTGCCAGGTCCAGCTAGGGTTAACCCATTTTTTTTTTTATAAACATAGCAGTTTCAGAGAAACTGCTATGTTTATAAATGGGTTAACCTTCCCCTAAACTCTAGTGGCTGTCTCATTGACTAGGCGCTTGCTTCACCTGAAAATCACAGTGAGCGCAAGCGTCCATAGGAAAGCATTGATAATGCTTTCCTATGCGACCGGCTGAATGCGCGCGCCGCGCTGCGCGCATTCAGCCGACGGGGAGGATCGGAGGAGGAGAGCTCCCCGCCCAGCGCTGGAAAAAGGTAAGTTTTACCCCTTTTCCCCTTTCCAGAGCCGGGCGGGAGGGGGACCCTGAGGGTGGGGGCTCCCTCAGGGCACTATAGTGGTCCTTTAAGGAGTGAAATCACTTTGTTTCTGTTTATGCAGCCCTGGTCACAGAGCCAGCACAAGTCAAACACAGGCCTGGCCAATCAGCATCTCCTCATAGAGATGTATTAAATCAATGCATCTCTGAGGAAAGTTCAGTGTCTGCATGCAGAGGGTGGACATACTGAATGTCAGTCACACTGCAGCACTGCCCCAGGAAGCACCTCTAGCAGCCATCAGAGGAGTGGCCAGTGGAGGCTGTAATGTAAACACTGCAATTTCTCTGAAAAGACAGTGTTTGCTGCAAAAAGCCTGAATGGAATGATTCTACTCACCAGAACAAATGTAATACGCTGTAGTTGTTCTGGTGACTATAGTGTCCCTTTAAAGCAAGGATGTCAAATTCAAAGTCTAGCACGGGCCAAATAAACAAGGTTTACGTTTATGTGGGCTGCAAAAAAATATATTTAATTTTCATATAAACGTAGGTTTATTTTGAAAAGTACAGCATAAAAAAAAACTGCATCCCCCTCTACTAAATCCCAGTCTCCCCCCTCTAGCCAACAAGCAGACTCCACTCACATTGCCACTGCCAGTATGCGACTCTGGAGTCCGACCTCTGGTATACTCCAAATGGCGCCGTCCGCACCCTGTGACAAATCTAAAACTCCCACTACTTCTTGAAACCTTGTGAAGTTGGAGCACATCGACATGGCGTTGCATGCCTCCGTGCACCTCCAGGTCCTCCACTGTCAAGCCGCGGCCATCAACACACA